CCTGACACCGCCCCCCCACCTAGTGCTGAGAAGCCAGTTGAGACTGGGTGTAATGCCTGTAATCTCAGTGCTTGGGAGGCTGAAAACAAGAGAATCACTTAAGAGTCCAATCTGTGTAGTGAGGCCCTGTAGACTCTGTACTAAATACATAAAATAAAAATATGCCTTTTTTTTTTTTTTTTTTTTTCAGAACTGGGGATTGAACTCATACCCTTGCGCTTGCCAGGGAAGCACTTATTCTACTGAGCCATCTCCCCGGCCCCTACATAAAATAAAAATAAAAATTAAAAAAAAAAAAAATCAGTGAGAACCTGTGCCCCTGGCTGTGGCTGACATTTTTTGCTCTCTAAACTGTGTCAAAATCACAGCGCTGCCTCTTCTTTCCCAGTTTCTAATCTGTTTCCAGGTGTAAGCTGACTGCTCCCAGCGCAAGCTTCACATTTGGGTTTCCTGGCTGTTGTCAGAGCCCACAGGGCCTTTGCCACCTCCACTTCTGGGCCCAGGGGGACAACACCTTGCTGACCCTCACAGGTGGAGGCCGCTCTGGAAGTGCCAGGAGGGTTGCTACATCCTGGAACCTGTGGGCTGGGCCAGGGAGGTGGCCAGTGCCAGCGACCAGGCCACCACTGCCGCTGTGGTGCAGGGCATCGGTCCTGGAGCTTCCCGTGCCTGCCACCTGCAGGAGCCCTGCTTCAGCGGCCTGCTCCTGCCTGCAGGACGCCTCCGCCGGTTGCCATCTCTCCTTCTCTCCTGTGTCCTGTCGCTGCTCCAGGCTCACCCAGACTTCACAGCAGCACAGCCTGTGACAGCAGTGACCTAGCTTTCTGGCCAGCCCTCAGACCTTCCCCATTTTTTTAGGCTGAAGCCTGGAATTGGTCCCTGCCCTGTCCCTTTTCCAAATCACTTCACCACTCTTTTCGATTTTTAAACTCTCTTCCTGTTTGGAAAGAATAGATACATTTCAGAAACACGACTTAACAGGTAATTTCCTTCTATCCTAGCTCCCAGAGGGCTCTGATTTAGCTGTGTGGTTATTATAAGATGGGACCTTGCTAAGTTGCCCAGGCTGGTCCCAAACTTGTGGTCCTCCTGCCTTAGCCTCATGGCAGCTGAGGTGATAGGTACTTGGTGTCACCATGCTCAGCTTAGTTTTTTTTTTTTTTTGGTACCAGGAATCGAACTCAGGACCTTCTGCTTGCAAGGCAGGCACTTTGCCTCTGAGCTATATCCCCAGCCTCTTTAATTTAGTTCTTTTTTTTTGCGGAACCGGGGATTGAACTCAGATCCTTGCGTTTGCCAGTCAAGTGCTTATCCTACTGAGCCAGCCCCTTTAATTTAGTTCTTAAACTACTGTCTTCATAGTAGACTGGAGGGTGGAGGCTGTGAAGGGACAGGGCTGGGATCCAGGAGGTTAAGGGACTGGGTGGCGGGTTGGTGACCCTGCTCCCGAGGAGGAAGGCTCTGGTGTGTGTGAACAGCACAGAGGGTCCGGGACAGGGAGGTCCCAGGGGGGTGTGGTTATAGGCTGGGGTGGGCGTCTGTGTGTACCTTAGGGTGGGGGAAAGTGACATGATCTGCTGTGGGCTGTCAGGGTCCTCCTGGAGCCACATGGGGACTAGGCGGTGGGGTTAGGGGGAAGGGGAGTCCTGTTGGGGCCATGTCACTTGCTAGGCCTGGTGCTTGGGACCAGGTGAGAATGGACCTGTTCTGTGGGGTGGGGGACCTGTCCTGTCTCAGAGCTGAGTTAGTGTTGCCTGGCTGAGTCCGGAGCAGACCGTGGCCTCCCCGGGTGGTCCCTGACAAAGTGCAGCAAGGAGAGGGCATGGCGTGCATCCAGAGCAGGGCCACCCCGCTGTTCTTCCAGGATGAGAGCCAGCAGACGTCTTCCTCCAGGCCATTTACAGTGTGGACCCTGTTCTGCTGTGCCCTGGCTGTGGCAGCCCAGGTTGCTGGGAGGACGCTTGATGGGCTGTCCAGCAGCCGCTGTACACACATCCACTTACTTCCTGCTTCTGTAGTCCAGCGCGGAAGTGCTCTTTTGTCCTCCAGTCTGCAGTGGGGAAGCTGAGGCTTGGACTAGGCTGCACGACTGGTGGGAAGTGGAAGTGGGGTTCACCCTCGTTTGGCTGGAGCCATGTGAAGGCTCTGTGTGCCCTGCCAGGCACAGGGACTTTGGATTCCCGCCGTGTAAGACCTGCCTTTGCTCCTTAGTTGGGGACAGCGGAGCCATGCACGGGGCTGTACGCTGTGGCACATGTCTGATGCGCAGCCCGCAGCAGCTTTGGGCTCAGCTCCGGGCTGTGGCGTTTAGATGGCTGGTTTGATGGCTGCCCTGGGGCCGCAGAGGACTGGGGCGCAGAGCAGGGCCTGAGAAGTGAACTTAAGCCACAGCCTTTGTGTTTGTTCTTCTTGTTGCTCCTTTTTTTTTTTTTTTTTTTTTTTTTTTTTTAGTACAGGGTCTACAGGGTCTCACTACACAGATCAGACTCATAGTGATTCTCCTGTTTTCAGTTTTTTTGTGGAACCCAGGATTGAACTCAGACCCTTACACTTCCAGGCAGGCGCTTATTCTACTGAGCCATCTCCCTGGCTGGCCTGCCTGCCTGCCTGCCTGCCTTCCTTCCTTCCTTCCTGTCTTTTTGATGCAGGGTCTTGCTATGCAGTTCAGTTTGACCTTGAACTCATACTGTAGCCCAGGCTGGTCGCAAATCTTGCAGTGATCCTCCTGCCCCAGCCTCCTGAGTGTTGGGTTTACAAGTGTGCACCACCACACATGGCAAAGTGGATGTTTACATTGGTGAGAAACTGCACAATTGTTTTCCAGAGTAGCTGTATGATTTTGCACATCCCCAGCAGTGTTTGGGCCTTTCTGGTGCTAGTGCTTGTGTTTGCTATTGACTGTCTTTAAAAATAGTTCTAAATGCCTTTTATGTGCTTTTTGGTATTCACATGTATCTTTTCCCTCCTCTCCCTTCCTCTCCTCTCCTCTCCTCGTGACGTGCACCTGGTGGTTGGGATGACCATCCCAAGGCCTGAGCCCGTGAGGCTCCCTGTGCCTGGTCCCAAGAGATTCAGAGTCACAGGGGCCACAGGATGAGGAGCCCAGACCTGCACCTTGCCAGCTGTGCTGGAGACAGGCTCAGTCTCCACAGGCACCGTCCTGCCCCAGTCCTAGCTGCTGGGTCTGCGCTGCAGCTGTGCACATCTATCTCCTCTCCCTTCCAGGGCGCCGGCTGGGGCTTGTCACTGCCTGTGAGCCCTGGCTGGCAAGGGACTGAGATGTGAGGGGGAAGAGAGGCAGAGGTGTCGGGCAGCCCTGGGCCCTCCAGGACCCGTCTGGGCCCGGCCTTGGCTCTACAGCTGTGGCCAGCTGTGGCCTCCCAGGCCCTTCCTGCTCCCTGTGCCCCTGGCTGGAGGCTGTTCCCACGCATACCCCCTGGGCGCGGCTGCAGGGAGCGGCCTGGGAAACTTTGGCTGTGCTCTTTGGGGCCTGACAGCTGGGGGGGTCCTGTGAGGTGGAGAGAAAGTGCCCGCTCTGCTGTTGCCAGCTGGGTTCCCCTGAGCCTCTGTCCCTCTCTGAGCCACCTGTTTTTCTGTTTGGGAACCTAGAGGCTCATTTTTTCCACTTTTGACAAAGAACAAAACAAAAAAGGCCGCAAGGGTGGGCCTGGGATCCGGCAGGGTGAGAAATGCAGGAACACAGCATGTGTTGGCCGTGTCGCCTAGTGGCTCCTGGGAGTTCTCAGGGCTGTCGGCTGGATGGGGACTTTCCAGCGGGAGAGCGACCTCGCCCAACAGTGGCTGGAGCAGACTCTGGGAGGGCAGTGAGCTGTTAGTGGTCACTTTCTCAGAGAGCCCCCAGGGTTCCAGGTGGGAAGGAGCCTGAGTACATAGGCGGGGGAGGCCTGGGGAGCACCTGCTGGGGGCCAGGGGCTGCCATTCGGGGTACAGTGAGGTCAGCCTGCAGACTGGACTGACCCTGACTTCCTGCTGACCCTGGGGCCCCACTGTCCCCTGCTGGTCACTGGAGGTGGTCACAGGGATGGTTGGGAGCGGATTGCCCCACTGCAGGCAGCTGGGAGGGGTTATGTTCTTATGCTCATGTGTAGAGGGACAGGGGACCCTTTTGGACCTGGACATGAGTGCTCTGAGGGGTTGTGTGGCATTCCGGGCCCCTCCCTTCCCAAAAGGCCTGGCTCCCAGAGCTGCTCCCACCCCCAGCACCTCAAAGTCACCCCGCCCCCTCAATTTACATATTAGCTTTAAATAGGTTTTAACTTTACTACCCTGTGTTCAGAGAAGAAAAATCAGAAAGTGCAGGCAGGCAGGTGAGCTAAAAGTTGTCTGTGATCTCTCTTGGAGAGAGCTCACTGAGCACCCTGAGGTGACTCCTCAGACCCAGTAAGGGTGACTGGGTGGCAGGTCTGTGCACGCCTTGTGGCTGCTCCAGCTGCCCTGGTTCCCAGGGTGGCTTTGGGCTTGGGTCTGTGTGGTCTGTACTGTGGCTGGCTGGAGCAGTCAGCACAAGCCCTGCTGGCGCCTGGAGGCTCTTTCCAGTGCCATGTTCTTAGGAGCAGCACTCGTCACCAACACAATGTGGTGGCCCGTGCCTTAGCAAGTCCTTGGGAAAGAGCGCGACAAGGGACTGCTGAGGCCTAAGGATACCCAGTGTCCTCCCAGGCCCCATGCATGAGGCTAACGTCGAGCTCCACAGTGTCTTTCCATTCCTGGTTGGCTGGCCCTTCACTTCTACTGAATGTCTCTGGCCTCGTTTGTCACTGTCCTGTCTGCCAGCGGTTTCTCTTTGTGACTCCTTAGAGCATCAGCAGAAGGCCAGGCTCATGGCAGCCACCCTCTGAGCCTTTCTGAATCGAGGCTGACGCATCTAGCTGTTGTGTTTGGAGTCATAGTAGTGACTGCTGCTTGTCATAGCTTGGAGGTTGGCATGGGACAGTTCCCTTCCTTGGGTGGCTCCTTCCACGCCCTCTCTCCCCCTGCAGATCTCAGGTCGTGAGGCAGCTGGCTGATGATGGGTACGACAGCCAGCACAGCCCAGCAGACGGTCTCGGCGGGTGCCCCCCTTGGGGGTCTCCAGGGTAGTAGCACGATGGACAGCCGGCATTCATTCAGCGTCCACGCCTTCCACTCCACCAGCCTGCACAACAGCAAGGCCAAGTCCATCATCCCCAACAAGGTGGCCCCTGTCGTGATCACGTGAGTGGTGGGGGGTGTGACTGTGGCCCTGGTGCGTAGCAGTGGATGCACTCTGTGCTTGCAAAGGGGGTCACTGGTCCATAAATGGAAGCTCAGGCCCAGAGACATTAAGCAGTGTTTATGGAGTCACCCAGCAAGCTGGATCCGTTAGGAGTATCTGAGCCCATGCTACGTATCACAGTGCTGGCGAACGTGGAGAAGGAATGTGGGAGGAGGGACACTCTTTTGAAGATGATTCTTGAGGGGAGTGACTCTTTTGCGGTGCTAGGGATTGAACTCTGGACCTTGCTCTTGCTAGACAGGTGCTTATGCCACTAAGCCATTGCCCCGGCTCTGAAAATGATTTTTTTTTAATTAATTAATTAATTTATTTATTTTGTGTGTGTGTGTGGCCAGCTCAGCCCACCAGGGGAACGGAGCTGGCTGGCATGTGGTGCTGGGGATTGAACCGTGGTCCCTGTGCTTTTGCTTTGCTTAGCTTGTTCTAAGTAGGTGCTTTAGATCACTGAGCCATCTCACCAGCCCTGAAAATGATTCTTGATTGAACATTTTAATTTTATTGTATTTATTTATTTATTTTTGGCAGAACGGGGGATTGAACTCTGGCCCTTACCTTACCAGGCAAGCACTTCTACTGAGCTATCTCCCCGGCCCCTTGATTGAACATATTTATTTATTTATTTATTTATTTATTTGCGGAACCGGGGATTGAACTCAGATCCTTGCGCTTGCCAGGGAAGCGTTTATTCCACTGAGCCATCTCCCCAGCCCCTGATTGAACATTTTTAAAGGAAGTGTATTCTGTGTACTCAAGACATGGAACTTAGATCTTTTTGCTTTCAGAGTGAGCGGGAGGGCTCCAGCTGAGGTGGCTTCAGGGCCTTGGGCTGAAGCAGCTGGAAGGTGCTAGCTGAGGCTCCAAGAGCCCTTCAGCAAGAGGCCCTGAGCGGGGCAGGGTTCATTCTGGCAGCTGCTTTGGGGAGACCTGGAGGCAGGGCAGCCGCCAGAGGAAGAGGGTCCTGAAGGGCCCCCAAACCTGTCTGTCCTGTGCAGTAGAAAGGAGCGGGTGCTGGGAGCTGGACAGGGAGACGGCAGGCGCCCTGGATCTGTCCCATGGGAGCCGGGGAGCCTAGCACTTTCCATGGCTCTGGCCTCTGGCAGGAAGTAGGACTTGATCTGGTACACAGGAGTTTGGCTGAGCTCTGGAAGACGGGCTAGACAGAGGGCTGGGGGCGATAAGGCCTGTCCACTCACCTGGGGAAAGGCCCGTCAGAAAAATGGTACTTGAGATGAGGGGAGGAGAAGAGGCGTCACACAAAAGAAACTTGCCTTGGAGTCTTTTTTTTTTTTTTTGGCAGAACATGGGATTGAACTCAGGCCCTTGTGCTTGCCAGGCAAGTGCTTATTCTACTGAGCCATCTCCCCGGCCCTCTTGGAGTCTTTTTTTTTTTTTTTTAATTTTTTTTTACATTTATTTATTTATTTATTTATTTATTTATTGTGTGTGTGTGTGTGTGTGTGTGTGTGTGTGTGTGTGTGTGTGTGGCCAGCACAGCACAGCCCACCAGGGGGCGGGGCGGGCTGGTATGTGGTGCTGGGGGATTGAACAGTGGTCCCTGTGGTTTACTAAGCTTGTTCCAAGTAGGTGCTTTAGACCACTGAGCCATCTCACCAGCCCCATCTTGGAGTCTTTAAACAGAGAACAGAATAGCATAGCTTTGAGCCTTGGGACAGTATGGAAAACACATGTCCAGGGCCCAGCTGCACCTTTTCCCTGCTGTGCAGCCCTGGATGAGTCCCTTTCCCCTATTTGGGCCTCAGCTTGCTTATCAGCATAGACAGAGGTAACAATAATATTTTCCCAAGTGGTGTGGCTTAGAGCAGTTGCCAGCCAGCTGTGAAGATCCATTTCAAAATGTTTGAGTAGCCTGGCGCCAGCCATCTCTACTGCTGGGTGCAGTTTCAGGTGGACGGCTTAGAGATCGTCACTGCACCCCACAGGCAACAGCAGAGCTGAGCGCCTGGCAGAGGCCACGTGTGGCCCTGGGAGCCTGAAATATTCACTGCCAGGACCTTCTTGGAGAGGGTTTGTGGAACCCTGATCTAATGCTTTTTAGATCGGGTACAAAAAGTGATTTAGATATGAAAATTTGGCTTCAAGGTGAGCTTTGCCCATCGTATGTCGACAGAGCTGGAGTGGAAGCCAGATCCCCTGACTCCTGGTCTAGTGCTCCTCTGGCCCACCAGTTCTGCCCCCTGCCTTCCCAAAAGGAAGTTTGTAGGGAAAGAGGGCCTGACACTAAACTCTGCGAGGCTGTGTCTCATGCATAGCTGTCACCTGCCTTTTGCCCTGTGCTTTGAGTCAGTCCTCTTACAGTACTTGGGTATGTGAGGTTTTACCTGGCCCAGTGTCTTCAGAAATCAGGATTCTGTGCCGTGGGTTTGTTTGAACAAACCAACCAGCCAGTGCCGTGGTATGGAGAAGGAGCCCCTGTAGGTAGCAGTCATTGTGTGCATGTGTGCTTCCCGTGCTCGGGGCTGGGCAATTGTGTCATAGTGCATGCAGCTGTCACCAAGTCAGAGGAGGTAGGAAGGCCTGGAAATGGAGCTGCTGTCCAAAGCCCCCAAGTTACCCAGAGGCAGGGTTGGGATTCACACTCCGCACCTGGATTCTGATCCCTATACCAGGTGTGATGGGCACTGTGGGATTGTTCCCTGCACAATCTGAGGGAGGAGCCATTGAACATTTTAGCAGGATCCAGGGTAGGCCACTGTGACGGCAGCACACCCAGTAGGATGCCTGAGTCAGGACAGAAGCTTCTGTGTCATTCTAATGTCTAGGCTGGTATGGCAGCACTCCGCCCCCCACCCCCCCCCCCCCCCCCGTGATCCACCCCACTGCCACTCTGGCTGCCAGATGCCCATGCCTTGTTTTGTTGTTTTTTAAAAAAATTTATTTATTTATTTAGTGTGTGTGTGTGTGTGTGTGTGTGTGTGTGGCCAGCTCAGCCCACCAGGGGGCGGGGCTGGCTGGCATGTGGTGCTGGGGGATTGAACCGTGGTCCCTGTGCTTTGGGGTGTGTGTGTGTGTGTGTGGCCAGCTCAGCCCACCAGGGGGCGGGGCTGGCTGGCATGTGGTGCTGGGGGATTGAACCGTGGTCCCTGTGCTTTGGGAAGCTTATTCTAAGTAGGTGCTTTAGACCACTGAGCCATCTCACCAGCCCCGCCCATGCCTTGTAGTCTGAGGTGGTTGTGCTACTTCTGGGCCACGAAGAAAGACAGCAGAGAAACTGGAGGGCATGACCTTTCTGGTGGACCAGAATTTGCTCATATCACATTCCCTTATATCTCATTGGCTGAGGCCCGGTCATGTGACCAGATGCAAGGGGTGACCCTGGTTTCTGTCCCCTAATCATGGTGATCTGGGGGTCTGTGATTGTAAAGGGAGGGCTTGGCGGCTTGGCTCCTGGTGGATGAGGGTCAGTTTCGGCCTCCTGTGGGCAGCCACTGTGGGTAGGTGAGGTGGAGGAGACGCTAACAGGGAAGCTATCTGACTTGGTTTTCTCTGTGGCCCGGCAGGTACAACTGCAAGGAGGAGTTCCAGATCCATGATGAGCCACTCAAGGCCCATTACACCCTGGGCCGGCTCTCGGATGCCACCCCGGAGCACTACCTGGTGCAGGTGGGGCCAGGCCACACCCTTGCAGCCCCAGCCCTCCTGATCTTTCCCACGGGTCCCCTCCCTGTCTCATTACCTCAGCCCTTCCTAAAGGGCAGCACAGTGCAGCTCTTTCTCCCCTGCAGCTGTATGCTGTTCCCCCCAGTTCTGCTGGGCCCATCTATCCCTCTTGTCCCTGTTCTTCATTCCCCATCTGTCCCCTACCAGCCCCCAGCCCACCTTTGCTTCCCTCCTTGGGCACCAGGGGCAACAGAGATGGGAGACCCTCCAGGCTGGGAGTCTCCATCTTGTTCTCTTTCCAAACTTCAGACCTCTTGCTTAGATGTCTCCATCTTTTCTTCATATGTCTCCTAAAAAGTTTAAAGTCCCCAAGGGATCGCAGTTTTAAGTCCTCCTTATTTGCTATCACAGTCTGGGGCCTAGAAGTCTTGGAGTGTGCAGCTGCTGAATACGTATATTTGGTGGAAGAGTGAGGACCATAAAGCTGCATGTGGTGAAGGCGGCCTGGGAGCTTCCGGCCCATCTGGGAATTGGGGCCCCACTTCCTGCTGTCAGGCCGGGTGGCTGTGTGCTGCTGCAGGCAGGGGTTCACCAGATGACCCAGGGTACTTTTTGGCCAGTAGTACCCTCTCCTTTTGTTTGATTAGCTGGACAGTGTTTCCTTTTTCTCTACGGTTGCTGCATCCATTCACCCTGCCTGACATCCTCAGAGCCAGCTGGGCATAGGAAGGGGCTGGCACAGTTGGCCTTGGCCTCATTCCTGGTGCCTCCCATTTCCTGCTGTCACCTTTTCTCCTCCAGGCCCCTTTTCCATGCACCCCCTTTGCCACGAGACCTTTGCCTTCCTCCAGGGTAGCTGCAGAAACCTTCTAAGATGGTCCTGCTTCCCAGCTTTTCAAGGTCTGGCTTGGGTGCCACCTCTTTTTATTGATTTATTTATTTATTTATTTATTTATTTTATTTTTCTATATTTAGTATAGGGCCTATAGGGTTTCACTACGTAGATCAGACTTGTAGTGATTCTCCTGTGTTTAGCCTCCCAAGTGCTGGGATTACAAGTGTGTGCCACCACACCTCAGTCTCAATCGCTGTCTCAGTGTGCCCCGGGGGCAGGCCAGCATGGCACACCAGGGATTGAACCCTGGCCACTGCTCCCTGCCTAAACAGGCACTTTAGTCCGCTGAGCTATCTGGCCAGCCCTAGGGTGCCGCCTCTTATATGGAGCCCTCTCTGACGCCCCCTCAGAAGGAGTCATTTTTCCTTTGTCAGCACTTTGTGAATTCATGCCCATCACAGCTGCCTGGTTTGTGTCTGCTTAATCCACAAACCCTCAGGGAACTCAGGCAGGACCGTATTTCTCTCCCCTGGCTCCCTGTACCTTGTCCCCTGGAGTCCAGGAAGGAGTCCCTCCTGTAAAAGATGCCCTGTGACTCTCCCCTGCCAGGGCCGCTACTTCCTGGTGCGGGATGTGACTGAGAAGATGGATGTGCTGGGAACCTCAGGGAACTGTGGGGTCCCCAACTTCCGGCAGGCACAGGGTGGGCTCGCTGTGTTCGGCATGGGACAGCCCAGTCTCTTGGGGTTCAAGAGGGTCCTCCAGAAACTCCAGAAGGATGGACATAAGGTAAGCATGCTGCTGTCCAGGTCAGGCCTCCGAATCTGGGCAGAGAGGCTTGGGAGGGGCCTGGCCATAGTCTGGGCAGGCTGGGTGGCCTGGACCAGGCTTGCCATGCCTTGTTTTCCAGGATGTCACTGTGGGTGGCATGGTTTGGGATCCTGATGAATGTTTACTGCCTTGTCCTGTGTGGATGTAGGAGTGGAGGTCAGGAGCTCCCTGTATACCCACTGTAAGGTCTCAGAGAAGGTGAGGTGGGTGACAGCGTCGGTGGCACAAGGGGCCAGCGTGGAACTCAAGAGACTGTCCTCTTACAATCCCAGCATTCTGGGAGGCTGAGGCAGGAGGATCTTAAGCTCTAGTCCAGCCTGGACAATTTAAAGGGTTAGTGGAACTCTGTCTCAGAAACAATTAAAAAAAAAAAAAGGCTAGACATGCAGCTCAGTGTGAAAGCCTTACACTCAGTCCCCAATGACACCCCTCCCCCCATAATAAAATAAAAAGAAAGGAAGGACTGCCCAATGGTGAGCACAGCTAACATACAAGCCCTAGTGCTGACCCTCTAAGGGAGGAGCTGCTGCTCTCATTCACAGAGGGAAACTGAGGCTCTGTGAGGATCAGAGACTCCCTCAAGGTCATGCAGCTCATGAAGGCTTCCTAGGGTGCAAGTACCATAGTTGCCCCCAAGCACTTGCTTTCAAGGACTCCCCATGCCTTCCTGAGCCAGGTAGAGGACGTTGCTGTCTCCAGGACAGAGGCTGAGGGGGCACTGTGACCTCGGCACACTGAGGCAGAGCCCCATAGTTGACCTGGGGCTCAGGTGAAGAGGCCTGCAGTGGACCGGGGCAGAGCAGGTCCCATCTGCCTGTCTGGGCCAGCAGCTTCTGGAGGGCAGGCTCTACCACACAGCTTGCTCACCTGGTCCTCGGTCAGTGGCTGAAGGATTGCATGGAGACTGGTAGTCAGTGCTCTGTCACTGTGACAGAATAGCTGAGGAAGTCAGTGTAGAGGAGAGTCGGCTCATTCTGGATGACGGTGATTAGGTGCATTGTTGTGGGCTGGAAGTGAGGCCGAGTGTCATGGCGGTCGGGGTGTGGAGGAAGCCAGCCTGCCTTCTGGAAGCTGGGAGGCAGAGTGGTGATCCTGAGAGGAAAGGGCCAGGGCCAGGCTGTACCTTCAGGGTTACACCTCCCATGACCTGCTTCATCCAGCGAGACACATGGCCTGTGGCCCACTCGGCCAGCGCCTCATCCTTGCATTAATCCCATCGGTCAATTTAGAGCTCCAAGGATCCAGTCAGCTTTCCAGAGCCCATCAGCAACTGTGCCTCCAACTCCACATGCCTTTTGGGCGACCCTGGATTCACAGCAGTGGTGGCACCTATTCATTTCTTGAGCTGATTTTTTTTTTTTTTTAAACCGGGGATTGAACTCAGGCCCTTGCACTTGCCAGGGAAACACTTATTCCACTGAGCCATCTCCCCGGCCCCATTGAGCTGATTTTTATAAGGCATCTGAATAATCCAGGGCTCTGTGCTGAAAATGGCCCAAGGCCAGGAGAAAAGATGCATTCACTGATAGGTAATGTTAAAGTAGGAACTCAGGATAAAGGACATGGCCCTGAGAGGAGGGATGGTTCCTGGTGACCTGGGGCTCATGAATAGGTAGCTTTTGGACTGAGCTGTTCCTTGGGTTGCATCCAGGTTGCAGGGACTGGGCGAGCACCAGGCCCCTGAGGAGGGAGGCATAGCTGGGCACAGCTGGGGGAAGGGGGTGGCTTGGCCTGTAGTGCTGATGGCTTCCTTCCACCAGGAATGCATCGTCTTCTGTGTGCGGGAGGAGCCTGTGCTCTTCCTGCGTGCTGACGAGGACTTTGTGTCCTACACGCCTCGAGACAAGCACAAGCTTCACGAGAACCTGCAGGGCCTGAGTCCCCGGGTCCCAGTGGAGAGCACGGAGCTGGCCATCCGGAAGGAGGTGAGAGGTGGTGGGGGCGGGACCCCAGCTGGAAGCACAGCTCTGTGCACGGATGAGCTCGCTGGGCCAACCCTGCTGGCCATCACAGGCCACACTGCCCCGCCTGGGTGAGAGTGTGCCTCAGAGCTGGCCCCAGAGGATGAACTTCCTGTTGCGTTCCTCTCTACCCCTGCCCACCCTGCTCTTCTCCAGGTGCAGGATCATTATTAGGTGGGTCAGAAGGGGTGGGAGAGGGACAGCCCTAGACTAGGAGGCCCGGGACCCAGATTGTTCCTCCATTGCAGGGCCCTGGAAGATCATTCTCTCAGGCCTCTGTGGGTCTGGCTCTGAGGTTCCTTTGTTCTCTTTTCCTTCCATCCTGGAGGCTTGACAGTGTCAGCTGAGCCCAGTGACATCCATGGGAGGGAGTAAATAAGATTGGGGTCCGAGCACCTCAGAGACTGGGGCAGGATCAGAGCCCTGCCAGTGACCACCATCTCACCTCCTTTCAGGCCCTTGTGCCCTTTGTCCCCACAGCTCCTGCTTGTAGTAGACTGAACCTCACCCCATGTTGACAGTCAGGTGGCTTCGCACATTCTGGCTGCCCACTGGGCAGAGCCTGCAAGCTTGGCCCTCTGGGAGCTGGCTTCCCTCAGGCCAGTGGCCTCCCTTGGCCCCTCAGGCAGGGCCCAGAGAGTGTTCTGGCTCTGTGGTTCCTTTTGTGTGGCCCGTGAGGCCTGGTCACTCCAGAGTTCAGCTGGAGTGGGCCTGGAGGGCTGGTCATGGTCCCCTGACACCCACACCTTCCTCTAGATCCAAGACTTTGCCCAGCTGAGTGAGAATACCTACTACGTGTACCATGACACAGAAGACCTGCGGGGGGAGCCCCACGCTGTGGCCATCAGGGGTGAGGACGACGTGCATGTGACCGAGGAGGTGTACAAGCGGCCCCTCTTCCTCCAGCCCACCTACAGGTACCTGGCAGCTGGCCAGGGTGCCCTCTGGGCTTCTCCCCAGTGGCAGCCTCAGTTTCCCTGTCTGCAGTTGGGCCGGGCTCCCCATCTCATCTCCCATGGAGGGGAAGGGGGTTGGGCCTGCCTGACAGGCTGCTCCTCTCCCCTGGCAGGTACCACCGCCTGCCCCTGCCAGAGCAAGGGGCACCCCTGGAAGCCCAGTTCGACGCCTTTGTCAGCATTCTGCGGGTGAGTGGTGTGAAGGTGGTGCCCTGGAGATGCTCAGGGTGGTGTGACTTTTCCCTGGGAAGGCCTCGTTCTGGGCAGGCCTGGGCCCTGTGTGTGGATGTGTGGTAGGTCTGTGTCCCTCCGTGTCCGTGTGTGCACAGGTGTGCTGGCTGGCATGCGCTTGAGCATCCTTCAGCGGCAGAGCCCGTCCTGGGTCAGCTAGTGGTTGTTGCTCCACAGACTCTACTTGTGTTCACTGAGTCCTGGTGGCCTTCCTGTCCCAGGATGCTGTCTTAGTTTTGTTTTTTCTTATCCTTATTTTCATTTATTTATGGTAACTAGAGGTGGAACCCAGGTCCTTCTCATTGAACTACATCTCCAGCCCTTTTTTAAATTTTGAGATGGTTGCACTAAGTTGCCTCTCAGCTGCTGGACTCCAGATCTGCGTCACCTCGAGGATGAAGCCTTATTTACTTTGTGCTGTATAGCAGGTGTTGAGCACAGGCCTGGTGCCCGCTGAGGGACTCCCCTTTGCAGACCCCCCGCACAGTGCCCTCTCACACTTCTTAGGGACGCCTGGTCAGAACCAGCGCTTGTGTTCCTGAACATGGCTGGAGCGGATCCGGCTGTGGCTTTGGTGCCAAGGCTGAGCTGCTTGTCCGAGCCCAGCCTGCCACTGACTGTGGCCCAGGGCAGCTGATGGCACGAGCTCCTTCCTGGACTTGGTCCTCTGCCTCAGGGCCTCAGGTCACACTCCTGCCTGACATTCTTGGTATTTTTCTAGGAGACGCCTAGCCTGCTGCACCTCCGAGAAGCCCACGCACCTGCCCCTACCCTCCTCTTCAGCTGCCATTCGGGTGTGAGCAGGACTAACCTGGGCATGGTCCTGGGCGTCCTGGTGCTGTTTCACCTCAGTGGGACCATGTCACAGACAGAGTGAGTGCTCTGGGACCTAGGGCTCCAGGGGCCGGGGGATGAGGGGAGCAGGGGTGGCTCTGCCTGGGTGACAGGGCCATGTCCAGGAGGCTAGATCCAGAATGGGGAGCTCATTGGCAGGTTGGCACAGATTAGCTGTGTGCCCTGGAGAGAGGCACTCGATCCTCTAGGCCTCAGTTTCCCTAGTGGAGGCAGTGCCATGTGTGGTTTAATGCTACCGAGGGAGCCATACAGCTGTGAGGGGGTGGGTGGTGAGGCTGTCCCAGAGGCCTTTGGGATCCCCATTAGCTGCTGTTCCCTGCCTTGTCAGGCCTGGCGCCCCACACAAAAAAGCCCTGCCCATGGAGCAGTTCCAGGTGGTCCAGAGCTTTCTGCACACAGTGCCCCAGGGAAGGAGAATGGTGGAGGAGGTGAGTGAGGGGCTGGGCAGGGATAGTGGAGGGCACAGAGGGTCAGCCCCCCGTTCCTGCTGGGGATGTCATTCCTCTGCCTCCGCAGTGCCCTCCTCCCGCTCACGCTCTTTTTTCCCTGATGCTCCACTCTCCATTTCCCTCCTTGCTGCCCTGTCCCTGGCCCAGGTGGACAGAGCCATTGCTGCCTGTGCTGAGTTGCACGACCTGAGGAAGGTGGCCCTGGAGAACCAGAGGAAGCTGGAAGGCGCCTGCCTGGAGAGCGGAGTGCAGGTGAGGCCGGAGATCAGCAGGAGAGCTACTGCCCTGGGTGAGCCCTGTAGCCTGGTGCGTCAGGCCTGTGGCTGAGTTCTTCAACCAGACTTGTCTTGGCCGCTGCTGCCCCCACAAGAAGAGCAACTAACAGAGGAAGGGGAGGCTGGGTGCTGGGCTGGCAAGAAAGACAGGGATGAGGGGAAGTTTACTTTCTCTGTTCTCTTCGCTTGGTGGCAGGATAAACAGGATGGAGGAAGGGGCTACTGGCCCGGATGTTTCCCCATCACTCATGGTTCCCGTGGTAGTCAGTTTCCTGGGACTGCAGCGACATATTGGAGATGGTGAACCTGTACAGAGCAGAGGCTTTTTTTTTGCGGAACTAGGGATTGAACTCAGGCCTTTGCGCTTGCCAGGGAAGTGCTTATTCCACTGAGCCATCTCCCCAGCCCCCATAGGCTTGTTTGGACTCACAGGTTAGAAGGGTCTTGTCCAGAAATGATTGGCCCTGTCATCCTGTGGAAAGGGCACAGCATGGTAACTGTGTGCGGCAGAGCAAAGTGCTTCACTCTGTGACAGGGAGCAAAAAAGGGGAAGATGAAGATGCTGAGGTCCTGCTGTCCTCATGTGGTTCACTTCCAGTGACCTAAGGACCTTCCACCCGCCAGTGCCCTTGGGTTCCATTGACTCCTAAGAGCCCTGCCTCGGGCCAAACCTTTATTTAATTTCCACGATTGAAACTATAGCACCTGGGCTGGTGAGATGGCTCAGTGGTCTAAAGCACCTACTTAGAACAAGCTTAGCAAAGCACAGGGCCCGCAGTTCAATCCCCCAGCACCACATGCCAGCCCGTCCCACCCCCTGATGGGCTGAGCTGGCCACACACACACAAATAAATAAATAAAATAAATAAATTAAAAAAAAAAAGAAAGAAAGAAACTATAGCACCTGTTGGTCCAGCGCATTGTTCTACGTTGTTCCGGCAGAGTGTGGGGCTCTGGACTCTGGGAGCCGCTGTCCCCAGCTCTGGAGGAGAAGAAGGTTGGCTTGCTGACTTCTGCACACAGCATGTGGAGAGGAGCAAAGCCCTCAGAACTTCTTCCTTCTAACTCCTGTAAAAAAACATCATTTAAAAGCAGTCATCTGTGATGGAAAATTGAGCATGTAGAGCAGAAAGGAAAAGCATTGGCCCCATAGTCCCCGCACAGCTGCGCCAGTGTCTGGGGCTGGCCCGCGGCGTCCTGTGTGTTTACGCTTCTCCGGCGGAGGCTGTCCGGCGTGCCGTTCACATCCTGCTTGTCTTAACTTCCCAGCAGCAGCTGTTCCCATGTGGATGCCTGACTTCTGTCACTGAAATTTCTAACGGTCGTGTAACCTAAACCCTGACACCGTTCAGGCAGCGCCAGCACCATAGGTGAAGCAAGCAGGCCTGCGCCAGTGGCTTGGGTTCGGGGCCTCGCCCTGCCATGACTGGAGAACCGCCTTGGGAACCGCTCTGCCCCTCTGTGCCTCCATTTCCCCAGTCTTGAAGCGGGGAGTAGTTTGTAGGGCTGCAGTGGAGCTAGGTGAGGTAGGATCCGTGACATTCTCAGGACAGGTGTCTCGGCAGTGCCGGTCCTGTGGTTGACAACTGAGTTGCTTGTCCTCATCAACATAAATACTTTCTGCTTCAAGCAACTTCATGAAGATAAAGGCTTCTGTATTTTGGGGTTTTCCCTATTAGTCCAGATCGGAGGTCAGCAAGGTGGGGTTTAGGAGCCACCGCCAGGCCACCACCTGTGTCTGGACGAGAGTTGTGTGTGAGCACGGCTGCGCCTGTGCCCTGCGCACTCGGTGTTGTCTCTCCTGGAGGCCGCGTGCTGGCACAGTCATCGCCGTTCACAGGAAGCGCTTGCTAGTCCTGGGGGGCGGGGGGTTCCTCAGGTTGGGGTCCAGCTGTGTCAGAGGGCACGGCCCTCTCTTGGGCAAGTTTGAATCTCACTTGTCTTTCAAAGGCTATTGACCCTATTGGAGGAGCATGAGAGCCAAGGGCTGTAGAAGGCCCTGTGGGGTTCGCTGTGCCACCCCACTTCCCAGAGGATGCAGAGTTCAAGGAGCATGACAGCTCTGTGTGCCATCAGCTGGGTGACTTGGAGAAAGTCACTGTTTCTTGGAATTTTCTTTTCTGCTCTGTAAATTAGGGACAATAGTAATGTCCGTTCCCCCTAGCACCAATGTGTCTCTAAGTTCCGGTGGGCTGGGGGTTTCCCTTCAGAAAAGGAAGGGGTTTGCACACTTGCTTCCTGACACAGGATGCGGAACATGGTGGGGGGTGGGGGGGACAAAGCAAGGGAAACCCTACTGCCCCATCTGCCTGGGGGTTGGGTGGGGTGACTGTCCCTCTGTCAGAGCTTCAGTGCCTGGTGTGGTCGCCAGAAATCTCCCAGCATCCCTGATTAACCACGGCGACAGGGTAGAGTTGGATGTTTGGAAGAAGAGGGGGCATCATGTTCTGGATTTCCCAGGCTGGAGTCTTATCCTTCCGGGCATGGAGGGGGTTGCCTGGGAAGCCTCGTGTGGTTTTTTTTTTTTTTTTTAACAGAAAAAGGGATTGACCTCGTGCCCTTGCACTTGCCAGGCAAGCGCATATTCTACTGAGCCATCTCCCCAGCCCCATGTTTTAACTTCCTGTCTTCCCTCCTTTTCTCAGGAAAGCAGTGGACAGTGTATTGCCCGGCAGAGGGCGCTGCGGAGCCTGGAGCGCTACTTCCACCTGGTCCTGTTCAGCTACTATCTGCATGAGCAGGTGGGTCTGGGGGTGCAGACCTGCATCTCCCCCTCCGCGGGCTCTCCAGGCCTCGCCCCACACCGCATGGTGATTGTAGATAGGGACCCACAGAGCTGAGGAGGAGAGTAGGGATGAGCGTTGGTTTGTAAGGACGCGGGGTGGGTGAGCTGGGAGGAGGAGAGACCCAGAGGGGGCCCTGAGCTTGACTGTCTGGCGGCCCCACCCCTCCCTCCTGGCCCCTTAGCCAGGGACCAGGTGCCCTGGGCTCCTCTCACTCACCCCTGGCCTGCCCTGGACTAGGCGAGTCTCTTGGGGCTGTTCTCCATAACTGGGCAGGGAGAGTTCGGGATGAGCCCTGCCCTGAATGCATCATTTCTCTGCCTCTGCCTGCAGTACCCCCTGGCCTTTGCCCTCAATTTCAGCCGCTGGCTGTGCACCCACCCTGAGCTGTACCGTCTCCCTGTGACGCTGAGCTCAGGGGGGCCCATGACCCCCAAGGACCTCCTTGCCAGGGGCTCCCTGGTGAGTATGACTGGTGGTCTGGGAAGCTGGGGTGGGCATGGGTGGGCCTGGGAACCCCTGAGCCCCGGTTTCTTGTAGGTTGGGCCAGGTGGTCAGGATCACCTCTGCGGCTTTGGCCTCTATTCTGGTGCCTCCTCTCCCACTTCAAACTCAGGCACATTGGCAGGGAGTCAGGAGACCTGGGCTGTGGTGTCTTCGCCTTCAGCTTTTCCTCTGGGAACTTTGGTTTCCACTCCTCTTCATCCGGGTGTGGACGGACTCTGTACCCTGTGGAGTGTGGGCCCTGCCCTCACTGACAGGTTCAGAGTACTCTGTGGCTACGTTTGGCTGCTGTGGGTCCCAGACTCCGTGCCCTCCCTGCAGGAGGCAGACGACCTTGTCTCCCCGGATGCACTCAGCACTGTCCGAGAGATGGATGTGGCCAATTTCCGGCGTGTGCCCCGTATGCCCATCTATGGCATGGCCCAGCCTAGTGCCAAGGTGACTGCACCTGGGGTATGGGGCATGCAGGAGGGAAGGTAAGGCTGCCCAATTTTCCTGATGGCCCCTGTCCCTTAGGCGCTGGGCAGCATCCTGACCTACCTGACGGATGCCAAAAGGAAGCTGCAGCAGGTGGTCTGGGTTAACCTGCGGGAAGATGCTGTGTTGGAATGTGATGGTCACACCCACAGCCTGTGGCCACCTGGGCCCCCCATGACCCCCACACAGTTGGAGGTGAGACTTCCTGCTCTTGTCTTGGAGGCCTTCTGGATGTGTCCTGGCAGGGTCCCCAGGGGGTCCCATGCTCCTGTTGGACAGATGGGCAGCTGAGGCCTGGAGAGAGGCTGATTTGGGGCTCCTCCTCCAGGGCTCTGTTGCCGTCCCGTCTTGGGAGGATTATGACTCCTAGGCTGTGTGGGGCAGGGCTGGGCCTAGACACCAGCAGGCTCTGGCCTTTCAAAGCTAGCCCAGGGCTGCCTCAGTGGCCTCTGCCCTCGTCCCCCCCGCCCAGGCCACAGAGGCCCAGCTGAAGGCCCACCTGAGCATGCTGTCCCCCGACATGAAGGGCCCACCGCTCCCCAGGTTCCAGACGTACCTCACCATGCAGGAAGTCTTCAGCCAGCACCGTGAGGTCTGCCCTGGCCTGACCTACCACCGTGTCCCCTTGCCGGACTTATGTGCCCCCCGAGAGGAGGTGAGCGGGGATGGGAGGCTCCTACCTCCCCTTGGCCTATGCTTGGGGGTTGGGGAGCGCCCATGGCACAGTGAGGCCCAAGGTTCATTCCTGTCCCTTCCAGATGTGTGTGTGTGTGTGTGTGTGCGCGCGCGCGTGCGTGCGCGTGTGCACACAGCTGTGCTGGGGAATGAGTGGAGCGAGGGAGCAGTGTGGAGTGCGCACATAGGTGTGGTGAGCATGTTTCACATGTCTGTGATTCCTGCCTTGTCTTACTGGCCTGTATGTGGAAAGGGCATCTTTAGGGGGTTGTGTGGTGTGTGACGTGCCAGTGTGTGATTGAGGTGTGTGATTTTCATCTGGTGGCTGTACGTTTGCGACAGATACATCTTTCCAGTTGTCTGTAGTTTGTGTGTCTTGAAGGCACAAGAATGCCCTGGTGTGGTGTGTGGCGTTTGGGGCTCCCTTGGTACCTGCGCAGGCTCTTGGTGAAGTGCTCCGGGCTTGCGATCCATCTGTGGTGTGCTGCCCCCTGGTGGCTGACCTCAGCTGCAGCAGCTGTCTGTGCTCTGTCCACAAGTACTGACTGTTTTTACACGTCCAGTCCCCAGTTCCTGGGTGGGGAGAGAGATAGGACACCTGGACTCAGACTGTGGTCTCACCCCCAGGACTTTGACCGACTGCTGGATGCCCTGCGGACGGCCCTTGCCAAGGACCCTGGCACTGGCTTTGTGTTCAGCTGCCTCAGTGGCCAGGGCCGGACCACGACTGCGATGGTGGTGGCTGTGCTGGCCTTCTGGCGCATCCGAGTATGTGAGCACAGAGATATGCCCAGGCCGGGTGGGCCCTGGGGTCTGGGGGACACTGGATGGTGGGAGGCTGTGGTTGGCAGATGCGGTGCCTCCGGGACACTGGCCACAGCTGTCCTCCCCAGGGCTGCCCTGAGGTGAGCGAGGAAGAGCTCGTGAGCGTGCCTGATGCCAAGTTCACCAAGGGCGAGTTTCAGGTGAGTATGTCCTGAGGGTGGGATGTGCCTGTGGAGGAGGGCAGAGCTGGGCAGGCCGGGGGTCCCCGAACTCTTCTGAACATAGACACACCCCTTCCATCTCATCACCAGCACTTCTGGTCCCTCTTTCAGGAGGAGCAAGCCAGGGCTGGCTCTGGGGCCCCGGCTGATGGCCGCAGGCTTGGGAGCTGGGCTCTCGGCTGCCTTCCCCAAGCCTAGCTTCTGGGGGCCCTGGGGTAGTGCTACCGCTGCTTCACGGGCACCCGGGGCCCAGCTTGGTTGGCATCCTAGCACAGGGCCTGGCCCACGCTGCCCTACTGTCCCTCTGTTTTGGATCAGGGTACTGGGTGGATGGCCACCAGCCTGCTGCATGCTGGGATTACAGGCATGCCCCCTTCACCTCATCTTGGGAAACAGAGATCCTGTCCCCATTAAACAACAACTCCCAGTTCCTGGTGACCACTGTCATCACTTCTGAAGGCCCAGAGTGGCCAGGGTGGGCTCAGGATGGGGAACACGCCCTCTGAGTGCACTTTCAGCATAAATTAGACCCTTAGGCACAAAAGCTAACTCAAATGCATCAGATATCTGAATGTAAGGGCTAAACCTATAACACTAGTAAAAAGATACTGAAGAAGAACTGCGTGACTTTTGGACTTGGCAGTGATTTCTTGGCCATAAAACAAAAAACACCGTGGACTGGGGAGATGGCTCAGTGGAATAAGCGCTTCCCTGGCAAGTGCAAGGGCCTGAGTTCAATCCCCAGTTCCGCAAAAAAAACCAAAAACAAACAAAAAAACCCCCAAAAAACCCAAAAACACCGGCAGCAAAAGCAAAAACAGGCAAATCCAATTCCTTGAAAAGTAAAGATGGAGAGTGTGGCAGGGAGGTGGGAGGCCCCAGCAAAGCTTGGGAAGAGGGGCTCTGGGGAGGGGCAGGAGTGGAGAAAGCTGTGATTGGTTGGAACACAAAGGGGCTGAGGGTGGGGCCCAGACTGAGGACCCTGCAGGGCCACACCATGTGTTCAATCTTCACCTTGAGGTCAATGGGAACAGCAGAAGGGGCTGGAAGGAACTGACGGTCCTGGGGGCTCCAGCTGCAGTAGAGTGGAGTGGGGTACAGACCCTGGGTCTCTGGCTCTGCGGCGGTGAAAGGCACAGAGATGCAGGATTTAGGGAAAGGAGCAGTCCCACACCAGACACGGGAGTTGCCTTCAGGATTTCACAGGCTCCCTCCTGGGGACCTGCACAGAGCCCAGGCCTGGGGTGTGGACTGGGTAGCCCCTCCCACTCCAACACCCCAAGCAGGAGCAGCTGCTAGTGCCCTTCCGGAAGCTGGGTTCTTGCTTTCTGCCTGGCTGCTACCCTACGCCAGGTGTGCGGAGAAGGCAGGGGTGGCTACAGCTCTCCATGGGGCGGGGCCGGGCAGCAAGCACAGGGAGCTGGTCATTTGGGTATCGGCCCCTTCTTCCCCTGGTAGGTGCTGGGTACATAGTAGGGGCCGTAGACAGCCCTTGCCTAGTGAGCGGGCACAGGTGTGAAGGTCAGGGTGGGATGAGAAGGTGTCTGCGGGATGTGGGCTGTGGGCAGGCGAGGGTATGGGGTGACTGGGAGGACGCAGGGGTGAGGAGGTGCGGGGGGCCTCGAGACCCAGGGAGGGTTTGGATTTCCTGCAGAGTGTGAGATAGCCATTGGGAGACACGCCCAGGAATGACACAGAAGTGGCATGCCCAGGTGTAGACTTTTCTGAGGCCTCTCAGACCCCAGGGAGGGCAGGGTGGGGCAGGCGTGGGGGCCGTGGAGATCGTAGGGCACACAGATTCAGAGGGGCATGTGGGAGGGCCGGAGGAAGAGCCCTGCCTGGGCGGCCACACACACCACTCTTCCCAGGGGTGCTTACATCAAATAGGTGGTGTCCGTGCTGGGTTGCCGAGAGCCGAGGGTCTCCACAGTGCCTGGGGCGCCATGGGGTGGGAGGAGGGCTGGGAGGGCCAGCACAGCCTTGTCACACATCTCACCCCTCAGCCAGCCGCCCCTTGTATAGAGCTTGGGTAGGGGTTCATCTGAAGTTGTTCTTCAGTCTATGGGGTGGTTTTCCTGTGCCCCAACACGAAGCCTACAACGTGGTGATTGGATTGACGCATGCGTAGTAGAAGTGTTTGCGCTCCTGCGCCTGTGCCCCTTGGCAGGACTGTGGACCCTCTAACACCTTGGGCCTGGGGTCCCTGTTTTCCTAGTAATTTTGGTAGTGCTCTGAAAGATTGGAAGTGCAGGTGTGTAGCATGTGTAGTAATAGATTATCAACTGAATGAGATTTAGGCCGGGGCAATCCACACTTGGCAGTCTTAGCCCTTGACAGCCTTTTGGGGACGATTTGTCTCCAGATTTTTTTTTTTTTTGCTGGCTCAGCCCACTCTGGGGGCGGTGGGGCTGGCGCAGCATGTGGTGCTGGGGATCGAACCACAGTCCCCTGCACCTGCCTAAGCAGGCGCTTTAGACTGCTGAGCTGTCTCACTAGCTCTGCCTCCAGATTTGAGGCTTGAAAGGCACTGGAATAACAGAAGAAGAATCATGGTATATAGTTAAGATTTGTGTGCATTAAAATTGTTTGTAACTGGAAATGTCCATTTATCGCCAGTAACATCTCAGGGATGAAAGAAACACAGCATGTTGGGAGCTCAGCCTATAATGTCCAGGAACCCCCCTCTCCCTTGCTGCCCCAGGGGCTTCTGGGCCATTTATGCCCCTCCTCTGGGTCTAGGTAGTGATGAAGGTGGTGCAGCTGCTGCCTGACGGGCACCGCATGAAGAAGGAGGTGGACGCAGCGCTGGACACAGTCAGCGAGACCATGACGCCCATGCACTACCACCTGCGGGAGATCATCATCTGCACCTACCGCCAGGTGAGTGCTGCACTGCCCAGGTGCGTTCCAGGTGTGTACCGCCCTGCCCAGGTGCATTCCAGGTGAGCATCGCCCTGCCCAGGTGCGTTCCAGGTGTGCGCTGACTGGGCTGTGGTTGGTGCTCCGTTGCTCTTGGTCACTTTCCACCTCCAGGAAGTAGGGGTGATCCTGGAAATGGGAATATCCCCCATCCCAAGCCACTCCCAGTTAACCTGTGTGGGACGAGTGCAGATGTGACGTGAACTGCTTCATAGCCGCTGTGGCCATGGGACCAGCAAGGAAGTGGCCAGTGTCAGGCCGGCACGCCTGAGAGCCCTGTGGTGACAGGCAGTACTCTCTAGTTGGTGAATCATGGGAACCCAGAGTCCCGGGCAGGAGACAGGCAGGTGGCTAGGGCCTCAGGTGCGGACCAGCCGAAGGATAGCCAGCAGGGATGCAGCTGTGTATTAGCTGGTGATGAGGCTGTGCCCGCAGGACACAAGGCCCGTGCTGCCCTGGGACTGGCCTGGCAGCCCGGCCCCATTTGGACTTGTTGGATTTGCTCAGTTAAAAATTATTTTTTAAAATAACTCAGTTGTAACAATATGATTTTCATAAGTGTGCAGATTTCATGTCAAATGTGGGTTTTGTGCCTAGCCAGAGCATGCTTTATTGTGTGCCCTGGTCTCCGGTGCTCTCTGCGTCACCCTTGTGCCCTCCCTGCCCCATCACAAGTTAGTGTGGCCTTTGGATCTTGTGTCTCAGTGCTGTGGGTGGAGCCTGCCCACTTCTGCCATCTTCTGGCCCCATGGACTAGGTGGGCCAGTGTCACAGGGGGCATTGTGGGAATGGCTGGGGAGGGGTGGCACTCCGAGGGTGCTGAGAAAGGCAGTGTGTGCCCACCTGCACACTCTGCTGTTGGCCAGTGATTCTGAGGACAGCTTTGCCTGTGGCCCTTGCAGGAAGGCAATCTGCCCCAGTCAGCCCTGGCCAGGGGTCCAACCCAAGGTGTGGTAAAGGTTGGTGCTTGGATGGAGGCGGACAAGGCATGTGGGCCAGACCGTGTCCAAGATCAGAGGTCAGCTGGGAGGGGTTTGTCTACTAAAAGGCGTCCACATGTGGAGAGGGGAAGGTGTCTTAGGAGGAGCTTTGTGCATTTGGAAAGATAGTTCTGCTTCTCCAGAACCAGTAGTGGTCCTGCTCACAGTGGTCTTGTATGCTACCACCAGGTGGCAGCACGGAGCCAAGAGGGTATGGGACCAGAGGCTTCATGTTGTCTGCACCCCGAGGCCCAGGAAGTGGAAAAGGTGCTTCAAAGCATCACAGCCCCGGCCAGGCTGGCCAGGCCTTAGCAGAGCCCCGTTCTCTGCACCCCACAGCTCACAGCCCCTCCCTCCTTCAGATCTCTGCAGCCCTGGATGTCCAGTGTGCCGTGCGCAGCGTGGAGCTGGGAGCGCTGCTGACCTGAGCTGGTGTGCGTGCGTGTGTGCGTGCGTGCGTGCGTGCGTGGCGTGGAACTTGACTGGAACAGGCCTAATAGAGAGCAGAGAGGCCATCCAGGCAGGAAGGGCCACAGGAGCAAAGGCCGGGAGGAAGGTGCAGAGTGAGTTTGGAAGGGAGTGAAGTCGGCCTGATGCCTGCAGTTTTGTCCAGGGCATCGGAGAGGAGGCTGGAGGGTCAGCCTGCCCCACTCCATCAGCAGGAGGAGGGCACGCAGGTGGTGCGGCTGTGGCAGTGGGGGATGGTGTGGCTGCTCTGTCTTCTGATTATGCAGTGTTTTAGTGAGAAGGGAGAAGGCTGAACCAGTTGAGGACGTGGCCGCCCCACCAGGCCAGGCCCTTACTCTATTTTCAAGGCTAGTGTGGTGTAAGACTTTTGCTGGCTGGTGGGTTGAGGCCAATTTTGAGTCAGTACCCAGTATGACCACCAGGTGGCCCCAGGAGCTGAGTTTGGGTCAAAGGTGTAGAGGGTCTGAGATGGCTCCTGTCGCCCTGTTCTCACCTGCCTGCCCATGAGGTTCAGGGGGGAGCTTCAGAGCATCCCCCTGCCAACCTCTGTTCCCAGAGCCTCTCCTGGTGGGTGTGTTGTGGGGCCAGGGCTTGTTTTTAAAGCCCCTGTAGCTGGGTATGGTGGCATAGGCTTGGGATCCCAGCATGCAGGAAGCTGAGGCAGGAGGGTTTGTATGAGTATGAGGCCAGCCTGAGCTGCCCTGTAAAACTCTGTCTCAAAAACAAAACAAAGGGGCCAGGGAGATTGTTCAGTGGAATAAGTGCTTCCCTGGCAAGCGCAAGGGCCTGAGTTCAATCCCCGGTTCCAACAAAACAAAACAAAACAAAACAAAAAAACAAAACAAAAACTAAAAAAACCAAAAAGCAATTGCCTGGATGACTCTAGTGTGCTCCCAAGGTTGAGAACCACAGAGCTATACAAGGACTCCCAACTCTAGCGCACCTGAGACTCCTCTGGCAAACTTGGTAAGGCAGAGCCACGGCCGCATCGCTGATGCCAGGCCTGGATACCAATGGATCCCACACGCTGACACTTGGCGGGGGCCCAGGGTGCCAGTGTCTCATCTTTTTTTTTTTTTTTTCTGTAATAGCTTTATTGAGCCCAAACTCACATTCCACACAGTGCCCTTAGCTAAAGTATACAGGGCTGGTCAGGCGTGGTGGTGCATACCTGTAATCCCAGCATTGGGGAGGCTGAGGCAAGAAGATTGCTGTGAATTTGAGGCATTCTGAGCTACATAGGGAGCTTCAGGCCAGCCGGATCTACAGAGTGAGACCCTGTCTTAAAAAAACAAAATAACAAGCAAGCGTAGAAAGTATAAAGGGTTGGTAGTGCTCCTTAGTGGTAGAGCGCTGCCTAGCGTGTGCAAGCCCCTGGATGTGACCCCAGTGCTTTAAGAGACAAGTATGTAGTTCCGTGGGCTTTAGTACATCCACACAGTGGTCCGGCCATCACTGCCATCAAGTTTAGAGCATTTTGCTCACCCCCAAAAGAAACCCCATGTCCCTTGTCTGTCATTCCCCCAGCCTGATAGCTACAAATCTACCTTCTTTTTTTTTTTTTTAAATTTTGTTTTTATTTATTAGAGAGAGAGAGAGAGAGAGAGAGAGAGAGAGAGAGAGAGTGTGCGGTGTGTGTGTGTGTG